CCTGAAGGTGAAGCAAGTTATATGATAGAATTCTGTCATCTTCACGCAACGGAATTATCCCAGCCAGAGATCACGACTCTTTTTGCCCAGATCCTGGGTGACTTTGACAGCATATTCACCGAGCCGAAAGGATTGCCTCCCTCTCGGAACTGGGAACATTGCATCAAGTTACATGCAGATGCGGGTCCGATATGTGTTCGTCCTTTTCGATACCCACATGCTCATAAGGAAGAAATTGAAAAGTTAGTCTCAGCCATGCTGACTGCGGGGATTATTCAGCCAAGCACGAGTCCTTTTTCAAGCCCAGTTCTATTGGTCAAGAAAAAAGACGGCAGTTGGAGATTTTGCGTGGATTACCGTGCCCTTAATCGTGCCACAATTCCAGACAAGTATCCGATTCCGGTGATGGATCAGCTGTTGGATGAGTTATTCGGGGCTACAGTTTTCTCTAAATTGGATCTTCGGTCAGGCTACCACCAGATTCTGATGAAGAAGGACGATATTCCAAAAACGGCTTTCCGGACTCATGACGGCCATTACGAATTTCTAGTTATGCCGTTTGGTTTGACAAATGCCCCGACGACATTCCAAGCAATGATGAATGAGGTATTCCGCCCTTTTTTGCGGCGCTTTGTTCTGGTCTTTTTTTATGACATCTTAGTCTACAGCAAATCTTATGAGGAACACCGATACCATCTCTGAGAGGTCCTCTCAGTTCTGGTTACGCATCAGTTGTTCGCTAACAAGAAGAAATGCTCTTTCGGCAAAGCTCAAATCGAGTACCTGGGACATATTATATCCAAAGAAGGTGTCAAGATAGACCCGACAAAAACAGAAGCAATGTAGAATTGGCCTTATCCGGCGACAGTCAGAGAGTTGAGAGGCTTCTTGGGTCTCACAGGGTACTATCGTCGTTTCGTGAGACATTATGGGTTATTGGCAAAACCTCTCACCGATTTACTCAAGACAGACAGTTTCGTGTGGACAGACCAAGCTTCAATGGCATTTGAAAAGTTAAAAATGGCGATGCTCTCTACCCCAGTCTTGATACTACCTGATTTTGCAGACACGTTTGTGGTGGAGGCAGATGCGTCAAGGGTCGGCGTGGGAGCAGTACTGATGCAGAAAGGTAGGCCACTTGCGTATTACAGCCATAGTTTATCCGCTCGGGATCAATTGAAACCAATCTATGAAAGAGAATTGATGGCGTAGTGCTAGCTGTACAGCGTTGGCGTCACTACCTGTTGGGTCGACATTTTATTGTGCATACGGATCAGAAAGCCCTGAAATTTCTGTTGGATCAACGCGAAGTCAGTATGGATTATCAGAAGTGGCTCATCAAGTTTATGGGTTACGATTTCGAGATTCTATATAAACCGGGAATACAGAACAAAGCAGCGGATGGTTTATCTCGAATCCATTCTTCGCCAGGTTTGTCTTCGGCTTCTGTTCTCTTTGCTTTGACGGTTCCCTCTGCCATACAGCTAGAGGAATTACGTAGAGAGATCGAATCTGATGCTGATTTATCGGCCATCATGGACAAGCTGCGTTCACAGCAAGACGCGCCTCTTGGGTACCATATCCGGGCTGGTAACCTGCTCTACAACGATCGCTTCGTTGTACCGGCTAATCTCATTTCATTCGGTTGATTCTGAGAGAATTTCATGACGGTTTGCTCAGAGGACATTCAGGTGTCTTGAAAACACTCAAACGCATTCAGGCAGTCTTTTATTGGATCGGCATGAAGGCAGACATTCAGAGTTATGTGGCTCAGTGCATTATTTGTCAGCAGCAGAAGTATTCGACACTAGCTCCCTCAGGTTGCTCCAACCTCTACCTGTTCCTGATCAGATTTGGGATGATATTTCCCTTGATTTTATTGAGGGTTTGCCACATTCGTTTGGCTGCGACACTATTTTGGTGGTGGTGGATAGGCTTACTAAATATGGACACTTTATTGGGCTAAAGCATCCATTCACAGCACTACAAGTGGCAGAGACATTTCTTCGAGAGGTTGTTCGATTACATGGATACCCACGTTCCATAGTTTCGGACCGCGACAAAATTTTTCTCAGCCATTTTTGGAAGGAGCTCTTTCGATTGGGGGGTACAAAGTTGAAGTTCAGCACGGCTTTTCATCCTCAAACGGATGGCCAAACAGAGGTTGTGAATCGCTGCTTGGAAACGTATTTACGTTGCTATGCGTGTGGACATCCCCGACTGTGGGCGTAGTTTTAATCATGGGCTGAATATTGGTACAATACATCATTTCATTCAGCTCTCCGAACAACACCCTTCAAAGCTGTGTATGGCAGAGACCCTCCATCTTTGCTACGTTTTGAGCAAGGTTCAACAGTAAACTATGAGCTCGAACGTGAATTACGAGATCGAGATGCCATGATTGGGGAGCTCAGGCAGAATCTCCTAAGGGCTCAGCAGAGGATGAAGAAATATGCCGATACGGCACGTCGTGATGTTGTCTTTCAGCCAGGCGATTGGGTGTTCTTGAAGCTGCGCCCTTATCGGCAACAGTCGGTGGCTCGGCGATCATTTCAGAAGCTGGCTGCACGTTTCTATGGGCCTTTCGAGATTCAGTCTCGTGTCGGACCAGTAGCATACCGTCTGCGGTTACCTGCCGATGCAAAGATACACCCGATCTTTCATGTTTCTCTGCTCAAGAAGGCCGTGGGGGATACTTTTCAACCTGCTCCTTTGTCGTCCAGACTCAACTCCGACATGGAATGGGTTTTAGAATCGGCAGAACTGTTGGATTCCCGCTACTCAAAGAAGGGTATATTGGAGGTCCTCATTTCGTGGTTGGGGTTGCCTCTTCATGAGGCGTCGTGGGAAGAGGCTGCACCATTTGCTGAGCAATTTCCTAACTTTCAACTTGCGGACAAGCTGAGGCTTAAGGGAGGGGGCACTGATAAGCCTTACTATCGGGTTTACGTCAGGAAGGAACAGAGGGAAAGCGGAAAGAAGGATCAAGGGGACATTGATGCTCTGAAGAGGACGGATGGAGAAGAGGGAAATTGATGCTCTGAAGAGGAAGGATGGAGAAGATGAAGGACAGGAAGGTTCTGCTGCTCAGGAGCATGGCCAAGAGGACAAGAATGTAGGCACGGTCAGGAACTAAGGACCAAGATGTCAGGCGATAATTAATTAAAGTAGTTGTTAGTACTTTTGCATGTCCGTTTTTTGTGTCTCCTGCAGGAGGTAATTATGAATGCCATATCAGCATCTTTGTCGCTGAACTTGGCCCTTAAGTATTAGCATTTTGGGGTTTTGGGAGTTCATGTTTTTGGATCTGGAAAGGGAGAGTAACCTCTGTTTTTTGTTGTAATTACTGTTTTGGTGAATACAACTTTGAGTTTATCTTTTACAAACTTATCATTAACCTCTCCCCAGAGTACTATTTTTACATAAAAATAAAAGTAACATTTGATGCAGAGTGGAAACCTGAGAACATCTTGCCAGCTGACAAAGCATCAGATACATTGACACAATTCCATAATTCTCAGAGAAAATTCGATATGACATATGAAAAGCAGAAGTCGGCATTTTGAATGTTAACATGGACAGTAACAGGGTTGCATCAGCACCAGCAAGCTTGGGATAATATGTAGCATTTACATAATAGTATACATAAGATGGCAAAGATTATAGCTTAATCCTGAATGATCATATGAATTTGGGTAAAAGAAGATAAACCATATGAATCACACAAAAAGAAATTAGGGTTACTTCAAAATTCAAAATTTTTCATTGAACCCCAAGTTTAACAATTACAATTTAGACCACCCTTTTTCACTGTATCCCATTACAATTGATCAACATGAATCTCGAAAGAACGAACAGGCAACATATACCAGCTACTATAATAGTGTGCATAAAAAATGGGTGTTCACCTCTAGGATGTTGTTGCAAATCGTGGACACGACGGCCTTCGCAGCATGAAGATTATGTCCTGCGATTATCGTTAGGTTCGTTATTATGGGCTTCGAATTGAAAATGAGCTCCGCGAGTGCCGGCTTGTACTGGCGCACGAGCTCGTGGTGTGGATTCACCAGCTGGGGCTGATACGCCTCGCGGCTCGAGTCACTCCTATTGGCCCCCGCCTCTACCTCCGACTCAAAATCTCGACACGGCGGTACGGACACGGAGCCGAGCGGTTTGTGTCCAATACTGCCGCGTGTTCGGGTTCGGAGGCCGAATCGGTTCCTCAGTCAAGCGCAGTTTCTTCATAGGGCGATCTCTGGATCTATCAAACGGTCTACGCAAATTATCCATTTCAATAACCATACAAAGTAACGAGAACACAAACGGGAACTAATATCTATCGCTAATTCTCGCAGAATCAATTCACATAGAAATCAAATCCTCATTACACGAAAAAAAATCTCGGTACAGGGAACAAAACTGCTGAAAACACTACAGCAAACAGCTCGAGCTACAGATTAGTCATAAACCCTAATACAAGACAAAAACTGAGAAATTCAGCACTGAAGCTCTGCGATGGAGATGAATAGAGGAACCAGAAGCTCATCGGGTTGTGATTGGGGATTTTATTGGTGATTTTGGGGAAAGAAAGGAAGACGGAGGGTTTTTTACGACTTCGTAATTAAGTCTAAATATAGTTACAATTGATTCTTAAAAAGGTGGCAAAAAAATTATCTGTCTTATTTTAGTTGTATATCAGTTATATGTTAGTCGTAATAAGGTCGCAAAAAATAAAACGAAAAAGGTATTTCGGACTTTTCCAACCGAAAAGTGGGTTAAAATTGAAATTTTTTTTTTTCGGTGGTGTACACTGAAATAGATGCGACCCAAGTGGGTTATTTGGGTGATTTTTCCGAAGACGGAGGCGAGGGAAACAAGAGAAAAAGATTTTGTTACAGAAAAGAGTTTTAGGCCCAATAATAAATATTTAAGAACCCATAATAAGGCCCATAAAAAAAAGCTCATTGATTCACCACATGAAATTGGGAGGGAAATAGAAGTTGATATTTGATGGTAATCTTATGGCGGCAAAATCTCTCTCTATCTCTCCGATCTCTATAGATGTCCATCTCCGTGCTCCACGAAGAGGTATTTTCTTTTTCTAACTCAAATTTGCTGGTTCTTCGTTCTGTTCGTCGCAGTTCTACGGAAAAAATCATTAATTTGGATTTGCGGATCAATTTCATCGATTTCAATTTGATACGACGCATATTCACAGATTCATTTTGTTGGTTGAGAGAGAATTCATATTCAAATTCCATGAAAATGAAGGTGAGGGTTTTCTGGATTGCGAAACCTCTTGATCATGTGCACTGCTAGTTCATTTTTGTTAACCGGTCGTGCTCATCGTTTCTTGCCTGCAGATGCATGACAAGGCTCAAATCGATTTCGCCTTTTTACATCTCGAGATTATGCCGACGTTTCAATTTTGCATCGGACAAAGAAGGAAACAAGATCTGAGATATGATTTGTCACTGATCTCCTTTTTTTTTTGGGAAGTTTCATTACTTCGTCGGTTCAAATTCTTCGTTGCCATGATTCAGGAAATACCTGGATTTGAGGTAATCTCAACTTTCCCGATACGGATTTCTTTCCGTTGCTGTGTGATAATTCTGTTTTTCATGATCCATGTGACTATATATGTCGTGTTTGTCCGTACAATTTGTTAATCGATCTATATAACTTTGGTTTGCCTTTTTATATACATGAAAATAAACCATGGTCCATCGGTGGAGTCATTTCGCGATTCTTTGATGAAATTATTTTCCCATATTTTTGTTTGATTTTGATGATTTTGCTGCAAGGTAAGACGCCTAGATCGAATTTCAACTATAACAAAATCTAGGGTAAATATGATGTTCGCATCAGTAGCTAGCTACATTTCCATGTTTATTTTACACTGGGTTTTCCGTTTGCTATCATTAGAACAAAAAGCTTATGGATATTACTATTTACCTACCGTCAGCTGCGCTAGCCCGGTTATCTCGTCCCCTGCCCGCAATTTTACTGACTGGGAAATGCAGTCTAGCGATTAGAGGTCGGGGTGCTCGTGTCTTCCGGTCAAAACCCCTTACGCATACATATCCTGCACATTGCATACGTGTGAATGTTAATAGCTTCAAATGCAAATTAAGCTTTAAGCTTAGGACAAAAAGTCAGAGGAAATTTACTTGATGAAACTGGTAGTAAAAATGATTGTGTGAGTTCAAAAATTACTACCCACATGTGTTTCCCATAAGAAGAGTTGCTTGAACATTTTTTTAGCTATTGTTAAGTTGTCGATCTTACATTTCTTTGTTGGGTTCCTTGTCATATTTCATCTGATTGCTTGCTAACTTAAAGGTTATCTTTTCTAAAGGTAATATTGGCTCTCTGTTAGAGCTTAGAGAATAGGTTAGGGCCACCACTAAACTCTAGGGGTTAAAGTATAAGGAACGTGGCATACCTCTCCAGAAGCAATGCTGGATGCGTTCTGTTGTCAAACCTGAAAATTAGCACAACAGTTAATTAGCACATCAATTTTCTAGGCGCAGAAACATTAGTTTTCAGTTGAAGAGGTGGTACCTCTAAATATCGAGGGTATAGAGGTCCCAAAGTAGACAGTCTTTCTTGATAGATTCCATATCCAATCCCTTGGAACATCAATTGGGTTCTGACTAGATTCATGATCAGCAAACACCTGGACCGAGAGAACAAATCATGTGCAAGTCGATGAGCCCAGATTCATGGCAGAATCAGTTTTGAGTTATATTGGAAAATAGTACCTCATTAACTTGGAAATATGTTCCATTGAGAGGGAAACTGCCCTTCATTGCTGTTCTACACGGTATCTGCAGAGATGCAATACAATTATTTGCTACAATTCACATTGTAGATTCGAGTTAAACTAATTGGATGCATGCTCTTACCAAGATGGTTCCTCTTACAATATGTGATCTTGCTTCCCTCGTGCTGTTGCATGAGAAGCAAGTCTCCTCGTTACACAGTGTACCATTATCATGGGAACTGCATTTGCTTTCTGGTGGTTGAATTGAATCGACTGTCTCACCTGTTGTAGAAACATATAATAGGAGAAATTTTCTTATATTGTTATGACTTGAATGTTCATGGATTTTCAAGCATCTCATATCTGATTTGCAAGCACATATCATCATGACCTGTTTATAATTCTAGCTCACCTGGTGTCCAAATAGCAAGCAGATAAGAACATGGGTCATCAGGCTCTCTTTTTTCCAACTACAACAGTAGAAAGAACAACTAATAAGGGTCTCAATATAGACAGTGGCATGTGTATGACCAAAGATACTGAATCTGGTCGTATTCTAGCTTACCCCTACTAGGAGAGGATGTGAGTCTGGAAGTTCATAACTGCAAGACGTTGAGGGAAAAAAAAGAAGATGCAGAAATGGTTAGTGGATGACCAAATATACTGAAGCATTGATAAATTGCCAATAGGTGTCCACTATTTCTGCCATAGAAGTCATATGGTCATTTCTAGTTTTTTATGTTGAGGGGAGACTGACTTGTATGGCTCCTAGTGTACTTTGGACCCAAGGAAAGAAAATAGAGAGATAATGCACTTACACATGATGTTCGGTTCTTAGCTGGCTGACACTCTTAAGCTTGGGCATTGGAATAGATGCAACTTGTTCGGTCAGTGCAACTAAGGCCTTTGACATATTACCATGCTGCATAATATCCTTCAAATTATTGGTGAATGCATCTGTGTTTAGCCTGAGTGTTGGGATTTCTTCAGTATCATTATAAAATGCATCTTCTATATCCTTTTGCGATACTTGCACGGGTTCTGGTTCTGGTTCTGGTTCTGGTGATGATGGTTCTTCGATGATTGGCTCACAGCAAGTAACCCTGCTTGTTGATTCAGGATGCCTGGTGTCTTCTGACCCTTGGTCTCTTTGGGTTGGTTCTGGCTCGGGTAGAAACAAAGGTCCTTGATCACCAGCCACCGGTTGGTTCTGATCAGGTGCTCTATTAGCATTTGCACTCACAATACTCGTTTCCTCTGTTCCTGGCAGGGCAAGCCTTGCACTGCAAAAATGTTAAGGTTATTATTGACTCTTCTCTGACGCTTGCATCAATTCAGCTACTTATTAGAATACAAACTAATCCTGATGTGAATTTACTTATCTTCTTCAACAGTTTCCATGCTGCATCAACATATTAGATTGTTGATCTATTTACTTTTTCAGGTTTATTTCTTTAGAGGCCAAGGCAAAAAGACTTTTTAGCATCTGTCTGCAGAAGTAAATTTTTAGAATAGCATGAAGAGTTTATGGTATATGATCTAGCACCTTGCAAATGCACTGGCAAAATGTCTGCATTCTCCTCTCATTGGACATGCGTTGCAATTAGGTCTGCTCTTTGTACAAAATACCTGCAGCAAAGTTGATACCCTCAGTGTCCAACTTATTTTATTGGTAAAGATACAAGTTTGTTTTAAATAGCTCGTTCACTTGTTTGGTACTTACCTTTCCAAAGGTTATTAACTGATAGTGCAACTCATACCTGCCAGGAAATAAGGCATTTAAGTTAATGACCATATTGTAACGAGGCTTTTTCCTTGAGGTCTTAGTAAAAGGTGTAACGATAACCAAGAGCGGAAGTCCTACAGTGTTTTTTGGTCAAGCTTGCACAGTCGTGGCCAAAGGTACTTTTGAATCGATTCAAGTATTGGGTACCTGGAAGAGAGCCGATGGATTCTTACGATGATTACGTACATGCATAAGTCAGTAACATTTCTGGAAAGGACCTTTTTTTTGGTAAAATACTTACAGTTCTAGAAGATGCAATTGAAGCGACTCAGGTAGTGGTTGAAGGGGCACCCATCCCAGCCTAACGGCTATGCGCCCGACGTTAGTGTCAACCTGTTAACAATTACAGCCTAAGTCCACAGTACAGTTACTTCACATTGGGCAAAACATTGTTGACATACCGGAAAGGCAAGATGGTGTAGCGTTAAAAGCCTCACACACTCCACACTTTTTAGGCCTAATCCTCTAAAGCTTAGAAGATATTCTCTGCAGGAAAGCATATCATTTGAGCAATACATGAGGATGTAATATCAATTGCACTGTTAAAGTAGTATTCCTAGGAAACAGATAGAAATATTGATTTATTTTCCTTACAAACTCACTTTGCTTTGTCAGGTGGAACATCTCTCAGCCATTCAAGATCAATACTCCCATGGTCTCTAACCACTCGAGTAAGGAAGTCCTGGATTATTTTGATGGTCAGAATCATCAACCCAAAGCCCTGCATACAGAACATTTTGAAATAAAAACTGTACCTGAATACGTCCGGCAAGAACATTGTTCATTCCTCGTTCCTTGATTGCATTGGCAACCGTATCAACATTTGTTGTTCTTACTGCTTCCCAGTCCACAGAATCCATTGTCCTTGATGTTCTTTCTCTTTTCCCTGCCTTAGCTGCAGCTTCTCTTCGTAAACTATCCCAATCGAACTCATCTTTTTTCTTGTTTAAGACTTTTTGTCTTCTTGATTTTGGGTTAGCATTATTCTTCAGATTAAACTCTGTACCAGATGAGTCACCTCGCTGGTTCAAGTCCATATCTGGCGCCCTTTGTTGACCTACTTGGTTGTCAAGCGAACTTATGCTTTCAGTAACGTCCGGAATTGCTCTTGAAGTGTCAATCAAATTGGCAAACTCCACTTTTTGTTTGTTTTGTATATTAGCTTTGGAATGAAAGGTTCCAGGGTTTTCAGGCATCTCAGATCGGTGGCAAGCTTCAACAACCCTGTCTTGTTGATAGCCGCAACTTGGTTCATTACTTGCATCAGGAGATCGTACCTGCCCTTTGGATGCCTTGCAACTCTTAACTTCCGATTCTCCTGAAACAAATTGTGAGCTACTGTTCCCAGGAGATGTCTTTGGTAATCCTGCAGAGCTTCTAGGATAGTTTGAATCCTCAGCACTTTGACTTCGGTAGCCATGCGAATTTTTCTGGATGTGGATCTGCTTTTCCATTGTGACAGTACTAGTTAGGTTATTATCACTTCCTTGGCCTTGTGGCCGGGGAGTTCCTGCCAACTGCAAAAGCTCCATAAAGGAGATAGGGCCATTCATTTTAAAGATTTTCCCCCAGTCTTCTCCTTTTGATTGGCTCACTGAACATGATCCCATTCTGTCTATATCTTGAGAAGCAACAGAAACCATGGTACTTTGAGATGTGAATACAGAATCTTCACACGGCAACGGATCTCGGGTTGGCATGCAGTCTTCAATGAGGAATGTCTGATCTCTCCTATTAACTTCCATGCTTGAGATTTTTGGATTTGGATCAGAGCATGCTTCTGAAATGATCACTGAGGAATTTGTGACCTTGCCAATTGCTTCATGGGTTGAGCTGGCAATCTCGCTACTGCTTCTAGAGGTTTCACCACTGTTCACAGACTCTTTTTCTTCTTTATGCTGAACATTGTCTTCGGTAATTGAGTTCTGATTACCTATGGGTCGGGTTGACATAGATTCTTCAGAGTCGAAGTAGATAACTGGTTCCCGAGGTATCAAGCTTGTTCCCTCTTCAAGGTTTATGTTGCTTGCTTGGGCGGGAAATCGTGCAACAATTGACATGAAAGCAGAACTACAAAAAAAAGAAATAGAACTTGACTTGTGAATTTCTTGAGTTTACTCTTCTATAATTAGGTATATATCTCACAAAGAGATTGTTACCTGGAAAGATGGTCGGAGACATTTTGAGTGAGAAACACTCCAACAACAGAATCAACGACCGATCCCTTCCAAGGTGTGAATCGTCGATCCCCTATTGCAAAAACATGCATAGTTACAAGTTTTAGCTAAAACATAACTGCAAAAGAAAAGTAATTAGTGCTAATTGCTAAACTCTATCTTCTACACAGTAATCATAACATTGAAGATCATGATTGAACAGTGCATCTAATCCTTTCTTTTCCAAAGTGTAGTTAAGTTTTCAGGATCATGTTTCACCTTTAAGCTGTCATTTCATATACTTGCAAATTTGTTCTTTGTTATTTGAGCTAAATTTTGCAGTGCATGTAGTACGTTTTGATCAAGTTTCTCCTTTTTTTGGATCAGTGAGGTAGAACCTTGTGTTGTTTTATTTTCCATCTATAGTGTGAATTTGAGAGCTATAAGTACGTCTAGGGCATTGCATTGTTACCTTGAACAAGATGCATGCGTGCTATGAATGAATCTGCACGTCCTTTAAATACTCTCCGTTCTTCCTCCCACCATTTTGTCGTTTTGTCATCCGTTCCGTTAATGCCATCATTATTGACATTTTCCATCAAAAGTTCCCAGACTCTATTGGTCTCGTCATCTAGCTGTACTCTAGGCCGTGGGCGTTGTTTTCTAGCCAGAGTTCGAGAACTCATGTAAGGGACAATTGTTCCATCGCCCCCATAGAGTACAAGAGCATTATTCTCTTGGATTCTCATAGTGTAAGGAGCAAGAGCATTCTCTTGGTACGAAGCATATGCACTCGCCGTCCTGTTGATGTCGACTATACGCAGTTGCTCGGTGATTGCCTCGATTGAGAACTTCTGTTTCCAAAGTTCATCTGGTGGAATACCTGCAGGAAAGTCACGTGGTCAGTGCTTTAGTCTAAATGCATTAGATTTCATGGAGAAATGATACTGCAATTAGAATTGCTTGCTTTTAATGATCCCAACTTACCAGTGGCTGAAGATGAAAACTGGTAATGATTTTGGAGAAAGATTTCCTGGTTCATTTGTCCTGACTTCTGCTTTTTGGTTCGCCTCTTTTTGTTCACTGACAATTGCATCTCAGGAACAGCTTCTGTATTTCTTTGTCCTCTGCTATCATACGCTGTCGGCAACTGCCCAGATAATTTACTCGATTTATCTTCTATGAATTTATCAATAGACGCCAAACCCGTCAATCGAGGATTGATTGTAGTAGATCTTTTTTTTGTCGAAGTTTCTTTCTGATCAAAGCTTACAATTGACTCAGGATTATGGACTCTGTTGAAACTGTAGCAATTAGTGTTTGACGCTGAAACTTGGCCAACCATATTGTGTGCCCCTGATACAGAACATGATGTGCTCGACATGGCAGAACCTTGGTCGCCGGGAGTGATCTTTTTCTGTTCCATGTTTAGGAAATACAACCAAGACATATTCTGGTAGTCGTGTAAGTTGTCGTACTGAATTCCAGATAGATCTGTCTCACGGGTGGAATTCACTGTTAGATTTCCGCTTGCTGATTCTTTTCCTTGCCTGTGCACAGGGTTACTGAAAACAGAGTTGGTGTATTGCGCTGTGAAGTGAGGGATGAATGCCGGGCCATGATGAAATTTCCCGACATTGGTACCATTGTCTACTTGCTTCTTTTCTCGGGAGGAATTCCTTTTCCTTTGTTTGGGTTTACTCTTGCTTGGCAATGGCGTGTTCGGCACTTGGTTTTCAGAAGGCGAACCATCTACCTGCCTATTGTGTGCAACAGCTTCTCTCCTGGCTGTCTTCAATTGGTTTTCTCCATCGCGACAGCCTTCACTCTGCACATCTGTATTCAGATTTGATTCATTTCCGTGTTCCGGAAACGTGTCTTCGAAATCCAAGGCCCGTCTGCATGATTTCTTCGCACGATTGGAAGTTTCTGCATCTGCTGATTCCGCCTCAGCTGCTTTAAGTGGTTGTGATTCAGAGCCCTTATCGACTCCTTTCTTCCGCACATACTTCCTCTTAGCTGTCCGCTTCTCTTGACCATCTGCCGGTTTCGGAGTTCTCGCTCGGGGATTTTTCTGTTTAGGCTCTCTCTTCGGTTTAGCTTCTTTAATAACCTTTGGCCGGTGCTTTCTCCTCTTTGGCTTTTCCGGAGTTTTGATATGTTCAATGCCCTGACTGACTCCATTCTCGTTCTCGTTCTTGTTACTCAACTCGCCAGTCACTGAAGCAGTAGTAGCAGCAGCAGCAGCAGTAAGTGACAACTCGGAAACAGGCTCCCAGTTTTCGGTGATGCATTGTGATTCTCTTGAACCAGTGGCTGCTTCATCAGCTCTTTCCTTCGGCTCTGGATTTCCTCCTGGCGTTTCCCGTACCATGGGAAAAAAATTAAAGTAGCCTCCTCCCTCGGAAATCTTGTTGCCTGCATGTTGCTGTCCATCTGCAATGACTTAGTTAGAGGCACTGGAAAAGAGGTACTAACTAACCTGCTCTTCCATATCTACGTATGTACCATATACCCATTTCCATTACAGACAACTGTACGGTTATTAACATGAAAATGCGTATAAACACTTTTACCAATGAATTTTGTCAAAAGTAGCAGTGTTCATCTCTTACATGAAGAATGTTCTTTCATGAGCTGTGACATAGCCGCCTCTTGACTTCCATGGTGAGTCCATGGCATGGATCCGTGGTACGCAAAGGAAGCAGTATTTGCCAGAGCCAAGAGATCGCCAGAAGGCAAGTGGTCCAACTCCGACATGTTCACAACCGCAACCGAAGGAAACCCTCTCCTGCGTGTGCGTCACGGATGACGTCATCATTACATAAGCATTTCATCCCTGTTTCTAACATGCAATAGATGAAATCTCTTCCGAAATCAAGGCAGAGCCCAGGTACTGTACCTCTCTTCTCTGTTTTCTTTGGTCTTTTTGTAGATCTGTCTCATAGGTGTCTGCGGAATCCATGGTGATTGGGTGCTGTTTCCTTCAAACCCTTGTTTCTCCATAGCTTTTCTCTCTCTTTTTGGCTCTTACTCTTCCTTCACCGGATTCTTCTCCGGTACCGGAAAATGAATTTGCCTGTAGAGAAAGGAAATTAGGAAATAGAAGATACCAGCAAAAAAGTAAAAAAAAAAACAATAGCGTGAATATTTGATTTGTCAGTTCATAGGATTTAGATCCATTTTTTTCTAGGTTTAGGAGATCTCAGGAGGTCTCTCACTTGGGTGGAGTGAAAATCGAATTAGCCCCAAAGACGCAAGAAAGAAAAACGATGAGCTCGTTTGGTTAAAAACAAAAGATTTAATTCACAAACATAGAAAAAGAAAATGAAATTAAATTTACAATGTCAAAGGATCAGGTAGTAATCGGACAGAGTGATTGATCTCTGTGTCTCCCCGTGGTGGTTGTGGCGATAAGAGCATCGCCCACCGTCTTCTTCTGTCTTGGAAATGAAGAAGTGAGAGAGAGAAGAGTACACGAAAGTAAAACAGAAAAAACAAAAAAAACTTTGGCTTCCGATAAAGATGACGTACAGTTAAAGGCTTTATACACATTAAAATGTGAGGTGTCATAAGGTATGGTAGCCGTTCGGTACTCTAGACTTCCATCTAGCGCGCGAACCCGTTTGGTTGGTGGAAAAAGTTTCGTCTTCAACGTCTTTTCAAAAAATTCGTTATTAAGGCGCGCTTGTTGATCATTTTAAAATTAAAAAATTAAAAATATTTAATTATTTATATTTTAAAATATTAATTTATGATATTTTGTTAATAGTCTTAGTCTACATAATTTTTTTATTGATTATTCCTTTTCTAATTGTTGCATCTTTTATGTAATTTATTTGTTCCCTGGTTATTTTATTAATCATCTAATCAGAATATTAGCCCTGAAATTTTCTAATTTCTAATTGGAAAAATAACATTTTTCTACATGAATTTAATAAAATATGACTTTTTCATATACGTTTTTTTAATTTGACAAAAAATTATATTTGAATTCAAAATTTTTCATATATTTATACGAATTGTTAAAATTAACAGTAATTATATATATAATTATCATTTATGTTAAAATTTTTCAGATTTTGTTAACTAATGCATTGATGTTACAATAATTACCTAACTAATGTATTAGTTAACAGATTTCAAAAAATTTTAACGAAAATGATGATTATATATGTAATTATTGTTAATTTTAATAATTCGTGTAGATATTTGGAAAAATTTTGAATTTAAGTGTAGTTTTTTTGTCAAATTAAAAATATGTGTACGAAAAAGTTAAATTTTGTTAAATTTGTATAGAGAAATATCATTTTTCCTTTCTAATTTGATATTCCTAAAAATAGGAATGAGAGGATTAGACATTGATAATATATAATGTTTTTTTTTGTTTTTTTAGACAACGAGAATACCGTCCATCTTTCCTTTGCAGTAAGAATATTATTCTTTGAATAAAGTACGGGTCGGGCAAAACTATCTTGAAATTGGTTATTCAAGTAATTTAAATTTGTAGGTCAGGTTATCTTGTATTTTTAGCACTTATATATCCCAATATATTATAAAAATTTCTTTGATTTTATTTCTTATTTAAGATTTTTGCGTTAAGAAATCATGAATAAAAATTGAAGGTAAAATTATATATATTTTTCAATTAATAGAAGGATTTAGTTACAACTAAAAAGGATTTTGAAAAAAAGACATTAAAAAGACTGGTTCATGTGCTTTTTCGTTTGTTTCATTTCTCCTTGTTTACCGTCGTTGTCATTATTGGATAATCACCGGTCGGTGCATTAGAACAGTCAATCGTCGTCATTGTCTTTTCATCACTTTCTTTATTTTTCGATGTCCAGATTCAGATTCAGGAATCAACACTCTTCCAAAAAATGATGAAGGATAGCTAAAACTGGCGTCATATATGTCTTTTTTGATTAAACTCAGGTATATGTCGGATGTAGATATATCTAATTATTTTTTAATATTCGTATCCAAATCCGATAAATTTGATTTCATGTTACAAAAACGGGAACTTAAAAGATATGGATAAATACCCAAAATTTTTCTAATAAAAGATGGGTACCAACACTTACTTTAAAATTCTATTCTATCTTCGTCTGCGTCGCGATCAACTCTTGACCATCGAATTGGTCTCGGATTTTAGCTACTGGGGAAGGCCGAAAAAGGGCCTGATCCAAGTGGATTTGAGCAAGGCCTTCGACACCGTCCATTGGGACCTTATTCTGGTTATTCTTCATGTCATGGAAGTCCCTCAAGTCTTTTTTACCTGGATAAAAGAATGCATCTCCACTTCCACCTACTCCATATCCTTTAATGGCGAGACTATAAGGTTTTTCGTGATTGTCATGGACGTTCTCTCTAGGTTATTAAACACAACTGTCAGAGATGGCAGCATCTCTCTCCCATCTAAACGTCGCTCTCCACTCATCATCACTCATTTATGCTTCGCTGATGATATATTGGTCTTTTTTTAAGCTCTTGCAGGTCCTTATCAGCAATACTCGCTGTCTTTGAAGATTTCTATATCATGTTTCAGGGCTGAAACTCAACAGGGCCAAGACTAGCCTCCTCTTGGATGGGAATGATGGTGTCGCAGTGGCTACGCTTGCTCAGCGGCTCGATATTGCACACTCCTCCCTACCTCTATGTTACCTTGGTCTTCTCTTGAATATGTTCAAACTACGGGATACGGAGTGTGCAGCCTTACGGGACACAATCCGAGGTAGCCTTAGCTCTTGGACAGCGAGACACTTGTCGTTTACAGGTCGGTTGCAGCTGATAAAATCGGTGATCTACAGTGTCAGAAATTTTTGAGCTTCGACTTTTATAATTCCAAATAAGTGACTTTTATAATTCTAAGTAAGTGTGCTAGAGACATACAAAATGTGTTCAACATTCTTATGGAGTGGCGTCACTAATTTTGCCAAATGAGCTAAAGTTTCTTGGAACGCAGTATGCTTGCCCAAGGCAAATGGTGATTTAGGCCTTAAAAGAGTTATAGATTGGAACATGATCCTTTGCCCATGAGTTGGGTCGTAACTCATCTATTATGCAGGTTCGGTCCTAATTCCAACAAATTTACCAGTTTTTGCAGCGATTTCTATGATATATCTCGATTATTTTGTCCCACGAGAGTTGCACCATAATTCACGCCAATAGATAAGTGAGAAAGGTTGAGAAGATAAACAATAGGTATTAGGGGTGGGTACGGATCCGATATCCGGTATTTTTGAGAAAATTGTATCCGATCCGCACAAATATTTGATTTTGTTATCCGTATCCGACCCGTAATTTTCGGATATCTGTAACTTCGGATATCCATAAAAACCACGGATATATGCAGAAATTTGTATCCGACTTAATATGTCATAAAAATTTGAATTAAAATTAAATAACAAATTCAAATACAAATAAAATATATAATCTATTTTTTATCTGATTTGTAAATATCCGTATCCGATCTGTAAATTCCGGATATTCGAATTTTTGATTCGAATACAAATCGAATAACGGATCGGTTCAGTTTTTTCGGATATTTTGTCCACTCCTAATAGGTATATATAAATTAAATTACGTAAAAAGCATAATATAAGTAGTTCATAATTATAAGGTAATGGATGAAGTAGATGTTAGTTGGTGAGAATCTGGGTTAAAGTGTTTTGGCCAAAGGTATTTTTGATAATGTCTCATTTGTGGGACTTTTTTTTTTTTTTGTATAATCAAACTATTATACGTAAGAAATAAAACTTTGGAATAGAAGGTTACATCATTGTAGCTTATTAAATATTCTTCCTAATCGAAGCAGGCAGGTTTGCCCGAGAGGTTAAGGGGGAAGACTTAAGATCTTCTGCACATAAGTGCGCGTGGGTTCGAACCCCACAGCCTGCATTTTATCTTTTTCTGTTTTTCGTTTTATTTCATTTTTTTCAGTTTTGTACTTTGTGTTCAACCAGATATGATATGAGACACCAACAGATGTTTTATTTGAAATGAAAAACTCTTGTGGTCTGATGGTTACTTTGTTTTTCTAAAACATCATTCGATATAAAATTTAGGTATAATTTCTCTAAAGTAAATTTTTTCTAACTCAAATCAAATATTAAAATAACTGAAAAATAAAAAAAGTATAAAATAAAAATCACGGAATAATTATCATTCGATATAAAATTTAAGTATAATTTCTCCAAAGTTAATTTTTTTTAACTCAAATCAAATATAAAAATAATTGGAAAATAAAAAAAAGTATAAAATAACAATTGTATAAAGAAAAACACATCTATATAAAAGAATGATATATTATAAGAAAAATCCTTAAAAAAACACTTAATTTTCAAATTACAACAAAAAGTACTGAACTTTTTATTTTATAAAATAAACATTAAACTTTTTAAGTTTGACAAAATAAACACTTAACTCTTATACGATTGTCAAAATAAGCAAAATAACTGATGTGGTATAAAAAAATGTAAACACGTCAGATTATTTTACTTAGTTTTTTTTACAATCGAAAAAAGTTTATATATTTTTTTTTCACTAAAAAAGTTCAATATTTTTTTTATAATCGCAGAAAAATTCATGTATTTTTTAGATCACTAAAAAAGTTTAGTGTTTTTTTAGATTCGTTTAAAAAATTTAATTTTTTTTTTACAAAAAATAAAATAACTAATATATATCAATTAGATTTATAATATAATTTCATTATTGTATGATGTATTGTAATATATCATTTATGCATAATCATATCTAACTTTAATCGATCTAATTGGTTTAATCCGAGCTATATAATCTTCAAATGGATTGTTAATGAATTGGGTTGGCATATAAATATATAACTAACATCAACATGAACTTAAAACTCTTATAAAACCAAAACAATCAAATGCTAATCAAAATCCCAACTTTCTTTGTTAACCTGACTCCAGCCCCATCCCCTAAGCACACACACACACACTAAGAAAAAACTAAAACAATGTTTAATAACATATACTTTCCAAAAGACATCCTCATACTTTGGATTAAATGCCCATTTTCCAATGATTAACCAAACTTTTTTTATGAGATCAAAGATCACAAAACTTTTATATAAATAACAGAAGCTGTCCAATAAAAGGCAGCGGCATTGCAGATAAAGAGTTTACATAATCTTTCCCAAAAAAAAAAAACTCAAAGTCCCTCTCGAGAGTGTTCGTTATTTTAAAAAAGCTAAGATTTTTGTTTCCAAGTCCTTACATTCAGTAAGGCTCCACGGGTTTGCGGAAGTTGGCCCCTGCGTACACTGCTTCTGCTCCCAATTCCTCCTCAATACGCAACAGCTGCACACATTTACATATGCATATACCAAAGTAAGTATTCAATCTTGTTGGTCCATAATCATCGTACCAGCTCCAATCCGGTTTCTATTAATAAAAATACAAATTTTATATAGAAATTTTTTTTCGATTACTTTTTATATTCGGTTCGGGTTAGGTTTTAGAGAAATCATACTTATTCAATATTTGTATAGAATTCGATTCAGATTCGATTATGTATTATTTTCTGTTACGATGAAATGGTCACCCCTAAAGATTATGGATGTAAACTTTAAACAAAAAGTAAATAAATAATTGTGGTTCAGGGATGGATATAAACCTGGTTATATTTGGCGAGACGCTCGGATCTGCACGGTGCTCCAGTCTTGATTTGGCCCTGAACGAGGATCGAAAAGGCGGGTACAATGAGAAACCGAGAATCGGAGAGAATCGTATACCGAGTTTTTGTAAACGGGTTTTGTTGTCAAAGACTTACAGTGGCCAAGCCAACGGAGAGGTCAGCAATGAAAGTGTCTTCGGTCTCACCACTTCGGTGGCTGGCCATCACGCCCCACCCTGCTTTCTTTGACATCTTCACTGCCTCGATACTTTCAGTCACTGACCCGATTTGGTTAACCTGTTTGTTAAAAAGATTCAGTACTTTTCTTCGATGATTTCAATTAGGGTCTCGGGATATGTATGCATTTACGTTACCTTAAGAAGGAGAGCATTGCAGGTATTCTCCTTGATCGCCTTCTCAACCCTCTGCAAAACCGAAAAAGATATCAATGCAAAGCAAGGTCGGGGTAGATAACAGGGTTCAAAAACCGAAATACAATTTTAAATAGTATTTAACCTCGGAAAACTACTCCTTTTATAGGGGTTACAATAAGCAATAGTCTTAGAATATAAGACAATCTCAAGATACCAAATCTACCCCAAAATATCCGAAAATATTATCTAAATAACTAAAGTACTTAAATGATTAAATTAATCGAAATCCCTAGATGGTGAGAGTCTAACAATACCGACCTTGGGATTAGTGACCAGCAGATCGTCACCGACGATCTGGACCTTGTCTCCAATCTCGGCAGTCATCTTGGCATAGTGTTCCCAGTCATCTTGGTCAAATGGGTCCTCGATGGACACAATTGGGTACTCCGAAACAAAGGACTTGTACAAGTCCTTGAGAGCGTCTCCCGAGATCTTCTGAGAACCATCATTGTTCTGCAAAATAGACAGCAAAGTAAAGAAGCTAAGTACTAAAAGCCGAATTCTTTCTTCTTGTTCTTCTCTGAAAGGGAAGTCTCACCTCTTCCTTGAAGTTCAAGTCGTAGGTCTTGTCTGATCCGTAGAACTCGGATGCAGCCACATCCATTCCGATGACAACCTGGAAAAGACAATGGGAAACTATGACTTGAGCCCGATTGTTCACGTGCAGGCATAACTAAACCATTAAGGTGAAAAAGAAGACGGACCTTGCCAGTGTAACCGGCCTTCTCGATGGCAGTCTTGAGCAATTCAAGACCCTCCTTGTTCTCCTGAACTTACAAAAAGGAGATTACATTAGGAGAATTAGAAAGTGAGGTGGAAACTGAAACAACAGCCAGTGGATAAAAAAAACCTAAGGTTTAACCTGAATGTTTGGTGCAAAGCCTCCCTCATCACCGACGTTTGTTGCATCCTGACCATACTTCTTCTTGATCACAGACTGGGTGATAAAATTAGAATGGGGAGATAGTTAGCTTAGAAAGAAGGAAGTGTGAAATGTTTAAGCATTGCATGTTCATCTGCGGAATTGGTCGACAAATCCTTCTCTTAGCCAATAAGAGTCGGAATAAGAGTAATGATTTAAAAAATTAAGAATCAAACACCACGTTTCCTTTTACTCACCTTCAAGTTGTGGTAAACTTCCACACCCATTTTCATGGCTTCACTGAAAGATGAGGCTCCAACCGGAAGAATCATGAACTCCTGTAAACATCAGATTCATATCAGAAATGTGATCAAGAATCTTGTAGGAGTACATTTTAGTATAACAGAATTAAAAGGGGCATGCCTGCATAGCAAGCTTGTTTCCTGCATGGGATCCACCGTTGATGACATTGAAGGCAGGAACTGGCAACACCAACTTCGAGTTGCCAGCAAGGTTGGCAATGTGCTGCAACCAGAAACGATACAAAAACCTTAAAAACATCCAAACAAGAAAACCTGACAGCTTAAGTAACTCTGTTCTGTCCTTTGTGGCTATGAGAAAGTTAATGCACAGAGCATTTACCTTGTAGAGAGGGATGCCTTTAACAGCAGCACCAGCTTTGCAGACAGCAAGAGACACGGCAAGGATAGCATTGGCTCCGAGCTGAAAAAACAAACACATAAAGCAATCTGGTCAGAATTCACATGCTTTCTGAATGCATAAGCAATCACGACAAAGAAGTTTTCCTAAAGCACCTTTTGTTTGCACCAACCCCACTCATTCTGGGTTCCGTCAAGTTCGTGAACCATGAAGTTGTCAATAGCAGTCTGCTGAGTCGGGTCCTGCAAGAAGCAAAAAGAATCGCCAAATGAGTCACATGACCCGCATTCACTTCTCTAAAACCATTAGCAAGCAGCAGTTAAGAAAACATGCTTAGAACAGGAAGAGTAATAGAATTAGAAATGAGGATTGACCTTGCCAATCAATGCTGGACCGATAATTGAGTTGACATTGTTCACAGCCTATAGACATCAACAACACTGAACAAGTCAAACAAAACCGTACATAATATTATTCTTTCAAAACAAAACAACATAATCACGAAAAATCAAACCTTTGAGACACCCTTTCCAAGGTAGTCAGACCCTCCATCCCTCAATTCAAGGGCCTCGTAGATTCCTAGGGGACAATCAAAATAAGTTTAAACAACAATCAATAACATAGTTCCACAAAGACTGAATTCAATTAACCATAGCAATACAAGCAGCAGGATCATATAAATTACAAATGAAACTATACGCAAGACAACTGAAATGGAATTCAGAGTAACATACCAGTAGAAGCTCCACTCGGAACAGCAGCAGTGACCTTGAAACCGCTGGATAAGACAACATCGACCTAAGAGATCACCATGCGAGTACAGTAACAATTAGTCCTCTTTCCTTGTTCAGATCAATCAGCAACAACAATGAGAAACAAGAGATCGGACAACAGAAACCCGTCTTAATCCTAAAATAAACTGGTGGAGAAGAAAACAGTGTACCTAATACCTATAGCCAAAACTACGAGGATCTAAAGCAGATCTATCGCAAATAACTTCCCAGTTCCATCATCTAGAAATCGTTTTTGTTTCAAAATTAACACGCGGACGATTAAAACAAAAAAAAATATCCATCCATCATAATCGTAGATTATTTCCACAGAAATCAAACACCGATGATCAATCAAAAACCAGAAAATAATCCACCAATGGCTTACATAGCATTTCAACTAACAAAAACAATATACCTTAAAACCCACCATAGAAACAGATCTACCACGGAAAATCAAAACAGAAAACGATCGGAGAACGGGAAAGCGAACGGAGAGTAAGAAAATGGACGGAAAAAAGACGAAGAAACGAACCTCGACGGTCGGGTTTCCACGGCTGTCAAATATCTGTCTAGCTTTGACAGCAGCAATGGTCGCCATAGAGTAGATCTAGAGAGAGAGAGAGAGGCGATGAGGACGAAGAGAGTTCGAGGGTTTTGGTTTCAGAGCAGAGACAACGAGATGTCGTCACCTAACGTCTTATATAGGACAGAGGACGGGGAAATGTCTGTTTGATTACAGCCGTTGGATTAGATATCTCAGATTCGATCTCAGTCGTACGATCAAAACGGTAGGTTTAGTGGTAAAACGATGTGCTGCACGCCGTTTGCTGAAGGACGGAGGAGCGTGACGGACTCCTTGGCCCAAGTAAAACGAGTAAAGTAAATTAAAGGATGTAATTATTATTACCACTGATTAATTATAATTAACGTATTTTTGTGAAGGACTATTCTAGTATTATACACTAAATCAAAATTACGTGATGCCTTTTATATTTTTCATAAACTCGAAATATATTCTAGTAATAATGTATGAGAATGATATTTGTATTCATTTTGGAATTACAACTAAAACCATTGAAAATATACTTTTCATGAACAACAGCCAACAACAAAGGATAAAGTGGAAATAATTAAAAAATAAATAAAATGTGGATTTTTGGGGGTAGTGGTATGATGACCAAGACGTTCTAAAAAAATATATTATTATTTGTGCGTGTTATGATTATAACTAATGGATGTTTTATCTATATTATTAGATCTTTATGTGAAATATGGGAAAGAAAAAACTGAATACTACTTGTCTATTAAAATGATGTTCATTTTTAGCATTTATAGTTTCCGCAATATATAATTTGAATATTTTTTTTCAATTACAGACAAAGAAAATAAATTACTTTTTAAACTTTTTGGATTTGAACGTAAAGATGAAATCCGATTACTAAAGTGTTTTTTTTTTGTTTTAAATAAACGATGATGAAAAGAACAATAAATTTGATTTAATTTCGGAGTAGGTAACGGTCGAAATGATTTAAATAGAGGAGAAACACAACCGCGAAGGGCGTGAAAGGTCAGTAGTGACTCAGCGCGTGACGATATGGCATTTTGGCGTTTCATATTATAATTTCGTCTCGGCATATTCTTTTAGCATCTTCCCTTTCTTTTTCTTTTTTTTCAATTCCTCATTTATTATTTATGTTTATGGATTTATTTATTTATTTGTGTTGATTTTGGATTTGATATTATATTTTTTCAGAGAGTATCTCCAAAAAAACATACATTTTTTAAATTTATTAAACAAATACATAAATTTTTAATTTTGTATAAAAATATACAAACTTTGAAATTTTTTGAAAAAATCCACGAATTTGTGTGGATTTTTATGAAAAAATTATGTATTTTTATATAAACTTAAAAGTTTATTTACTTGTTAAATTTAAAATTTTATATTTTTTGTGATATGACGATTATCAAACTGAAACCGTGTGGTTAAAAAATAGTGGTGTCTATTATTTAAACTTTTATAATAATGATGAAAAAATATGAGTCAACGAAGGATCAAGATTAGATAAAAAAAATTAATATAGAATACCTTATCAATTGAAAAATAAAAAAGGTACACTTTGGAGAGGAAACAATTGTACAAATAAATAAATAAAAAAAATTGAGTCAAAGAGATATCAAGATTAGATAAAGGACTAATACAGAATATCTTACCAATAGCAATATGACCACTGTCAAAGTAAATTGTTTGGTTAAAAGTTGCTAGTGTTTATTATTTGGAATTCTAAGATAATGATGAAAAAATGTGAATAGTAAATAAAAAAATTGAGATAAGGAGGGATCAATATTAGATAGAGATTAAGATAACATGTTGTCAATTGAAAACAAAAAAGAAATGAGGAATAATACACTTTGGAGAGCAGGCAAATTCAATTGTACAAATAAATAAATAAACTAAGATTGTTTTGAACTAATGACACATATATATATATAGCCAGAATGGAGTAGGAACACAAAATGGTCACTGGATTCCCACACCCAAAATTCGAATTTCACCTGGACAATTCATCAATATAAAAAAAAATTAATGACATATATAAGGTCAATCCTCGTTAAATAGAGTTATTGTAAAAAATATTCTCTCTTTATTATTTTGATTTCAAAACACACCCGTTAAATATTTGTTGACAAGATTTTTAGTTAACGGATTGGATATGTATTTAAATGTCTAAAAATCTGATATGAGGGCTCCCAAGGGATTTTAAATATAGTATTTGTTTTCTCTTAGAAAGTTTCTCTTTCATATGAGAAGCATATATGCATATATATATAATATGTATATATATATATTTGTATTTATCTATATATGTATTGTATGTACTACGTAATTATATATATATATATATGTATATATATTAAAACCGGGCGTATTTTGGTCATTTAATCCAAATGTCACAAAATACAATCATAATGCAAGTAAAAAAATTCTATTAGAATCTTAATATTTTGTTGCGATTGCTATTGCATCACTCACTTTTTCAACCGTTCGCAATTGGTAGAAATTGTAATCGCCACGTTGGCAGGCGATTATGTTACCACCAAGTTTTGAAGGTTAATATGTCTCATCTGTCCTATACTTTTTTTTTACCTATTTACACAACTCATTAGGGGTGGATATTCGGTTCGGTTAATTTGGTTATTAATCGAACCGAACCGAATAAAGATATTTCGATTATTAACCGAACCGAGTCAAATAACCGATTGTTTATGATTTTTCAAAATCTAAAATAATCGAATCCGAACTGAACCAAACCGATTAAAAAATATTAACCGTTTGGTTATGAATTTTTAAAATCCGAAATAACAGAATCGAACCGTTTATATATCTTCATTTATATATATTTATATACATATATATGAATATGCGTATTCTTAATTTAATCATTGTTTTATTATATTTCAAACGTATTTTATCATTGTTATTATTGTTTTTAAAGTTTCGTCTGATATAAACATTAGAAAAAATTATCTTTATTTATGTAATAGTTTTATGTCAAAATATGAATTTAGATATTATTATTTTATATATTAAAATCTATATATATAAATAATTGAGTTTAAAGAGTTGTAGTGAAGCCACATCATCTCCATGTCATCATCTATGTGGCAATGTTTTTAATTCTCATTGGCTATTGAATTCTCATTAGTTATAAATATTTAACATACAGATCTTAACAGACAAATAAGAATTCACCATGTTTTTATATTCAAGTTACATTTACAATTATATATATAGAGATTTTTAAAAATTATATTATAATTATGTAAATTTACAAATTAATATATTATTATAGTTTAAAAGTTTAAAAGATTAAAAAAAAAGATTAAAAGATAATAGAAGAAAAAATAATACCATAATATAATATTATAGTTTAAAAGTTAAATATTTTTAAAGATTAGAAGATAATATAATAAAAAAATATTAATATATTATATAAATAAAGGGTTGTTCACTTCTTCTTGGCCAAAAATATTATAATTACTTTATAAATATCAACAAATTATTGCAATTTAAAGAGTAAAAAACGTATACAAAAGACGTGGCCAATAATATTCATTAGCTCACTACTAGAAACAACAACGGCTATAAAAATATTTATTAGTCATTAATTAGCACAACGCGTGGCACAATGGAGAGGTTATGAATGACAAGATTTGCAGGAAACAGTCTCTCACTCACGGTAAGTTCTCAATTTCGTTGTTTTTATTCTCATCTCATCGCATGAGGTTATGGCTATGGCACCGATGGATGTGGATGTGAGAAGTAGGATATAGCTCTGAATAATATGAAACATCTCATCTCTCTTCAACACATTTCCAAGATCACTATTATAGATTATATCCTAATAACCATTTTGTAAATTTCGCTTCTTTTAACTTAAAAATGAGTAAATAAAAAAGATTTATACACGAATTATTTAGTTATCTTATTCTATATCTAATTTATTTATTGCATTTCAATATTCTAAAAAAGAAAACTATTTGTATACAAATTATATATATAATAACCACCTTTTCCATTAGAGTTTGATCTCAAAATTCTCCAAATTTTTTTAAAACATGTACAAAAAAGTTTTTTAGGATTTACAACAGAGAAATGGTGAACGTCAATCATAAATTTTCTCATACCAATCTCTCTGCATGTCGTTGCAAGTTGTTCCTTTTTAAACCCAGAAGAGCGTGGCACAAAGCAAATATAAGTGATCACGATATTTCGCCAAATTCCATTTTGAAAAAACGATCGATACATTTAGTATCCATTTGGTTTATAATCTTTATTATTTATGCATAAGATTTTTTCCAAAATTTATTTACTAAATTAAAACATAAAACAAAGAACTTTTCAATTCGTCGGATTCTATTTGATTGGATTATATTCAAATTTTATTATACTTTTTTTAATTCTATTTGATTTTTTAAAAAATCATTACCATTTAATTTTTTATATAAAATTGTATTAGATTACAATTATATATAAAATGTGATATATAAATTCTACATAAACTCGTAAGAATGGCGACAGTTTGGTACATCTCTCATATCTCCGTCAGTTTCATGTGATCATGTTATAGAGGGTGAGAGATAGAGAGAGAGATAGAGAGAGAGAGTCTGGTTTAGCGTTATAGAAATAATCTTTATTGAATTGAAATGTGAATTATATAGGTTCATTATTGTACCGTGCAAAGAAGAAAAGTAGATATAAATTCACATTTAGCTATATGTCAACAAAAGGTTTAGCGTTATAGAAATGATCTTTATTGAATTGAAATGTGAATTATATAGGTTCATTACTGTACCGTGCAAAAAAGAAAGGTAGATATAAATTCACATTTAGCTATATGTCAAACAAAATAAATTGTATTGACTATACTTTTCTTCCAGCAAAAATATAGATACCTATATGTATAGAAGCTTCTCGATCTTTTTGATTGTATCTGTCGTGTGTCAAGAGAATACGGAAAAGAGCTTTCACGTTCACTGTCGATAAAGATTTTAATTTGATTTATTTTCCAATTAGAATATACCACATTTTTATTGGGTTAAAATATCTTCAAACAAAAATATTAGAGTCACCATTTCAATTGATTATTTTCTTAAAATTGTATGGAA